CAGGGGAGTTGGATAGGGGGCGGGGGTCCCGGGAGGGGGCAGTCAGGGGACAAGGAGCGGGGGGAGTTGGATGGGTTGGGGGTTCTGAGAGGGGCAGTCAGGGGGCGGGAAGTGGGAGGGGTCAGATATGGGGAGGGGACCAGGCTGTTTGGGGAGGCACAGCCTTCCCTACCCAGCCCTCCATACAGTTGCACAACCCCAATGTGGCCCTCAGGCCAAAAAGTTTGCCCACCCCTGCTGTAGGGGGCAAAGAGGCCGGTATTTGTGGTCTCATTTGTAGTTTTGATGAGTGGCAGCGCAATACGCGAGGGCCCAGAGGGGGTGAGGATGTCCACCATGGGATCAGCATCCTCTACCAGCCCCTCTGCCTGGATCCCCAGGTTCTGGGCCCCCCTGCACAACAACTGTTGCAGGACCCTGCTGTCCTCCAAGGCCGGGGCCACTGAAGTGCCTGCAACAGCCTCATCTGGAGAGGACGAAGACTAGAGCTCCAGCACATGGCCTTGGTCACTGCCCTCGGCGACAAGAGGGTCATGCTGTTCATTGGGCTGCTGTATCGCCAGCACCAAGGTGGTCGCCGGCGCCGAGTACAGAGCAGCAGGCAGAGGTATTGGCGTTGTCTCCGGTGCCAGCTGCTGCAAGGGGGCGAAGGATGCCGACACGACCAATGCCGACCTGGATCTCAACGCCCTGGCTCTGAACATGGGCTAGATGCTAGGCCCAGCAAGTCCAAAAGGGCCACTGAGCTGGTGGTTGCCAATGAGTTGGCCACGGCGCCGGAGGAGGCTGGCAGTGTCACCGAGTCCTAGACCTCCTGCTGCTGGACCTATCTGAACAATAGGACTCCACCTCAGACTCCGAGGTCTCCGAAAAGGAAGACCATGGAGGAGCGGTACTGGGTGGTGCCGGGCCTCTGGGGATTGGTGCGGTCCCCACATGTGGGCGGCCGGCACCAGGGAGTGGCGCAGCGGAGACAGGGAGCGGTGTGACATCATCGCCGGCTTGCCCTTAGATGGAATAGGTGGCCGGGTTATTGGTGCCTCGTTCCTCCTTGGAGAAGGCGGTGCTGTCAGGCAAATAAGGTCCTGCACCACCTCAAAAGTCTCTGGAGTGGAGGGAAGTTGAATGTCCCAGCCAGGACGGTCAAGAGAACAGTGTGGGCCGGACTCGACTAGACCCCTTGCGGGGCGGGGCAGGAGTCAACAAGCCCCTGGGAGGCGACGGGCCCAAGTAGGCTGGCTGAGCGGAGGCCTCCCTGCTGCTGGTTCCTTAGGCTTCGGAGGAGGAGCACTCCCCCTCTCCTGCTTCTTTTTCTTCTGGGGACTGGGGACGAAGTTCAGCGCCTGACAGAAGTCTTATGTTTGGCGCCGTGTCAGTGCCGGGAGTCCTGAGCCTCCTCTCTTGGCGTTGGTGTGCTGAGCCCAGAGGAGGCGGCGCTCGGCACAGGCTCCGCTGACCCCGGGTCAGACTGTGGGTGGAGGGCTGCCTCAATGAGGATAATTCTGAGTCTCTGCTCGCGATCTGTAAGGGTCCTCGGCCAAAACCCCTTATAAATGCGGCACTCGTCCTTTGGGTGACTCTCACCAAGGCACTTCGAAGAAGAAGTGTGCGGGTCACTATCTGGCATCAATTTACCGCAGACTCCACACAATTTGAACCCCGGTGACAGAGGCATGCCCCGGTGTTGGGGAATGAAACGGGGGGGAGATCCCTGTAATGGAAACTTAGAGAAACCACTAACACTAACACCACCACCACCACTACTACTACTAACTATACACAATGGACAGTGGGACACTGCTAAAGGCGCTTGCAGAAGCAAGAGTGAGGGAAGTTCCAGCTAGCCATCACCAGCGGCAAGAAGGAACTGAGGGGGTGGCAGGTCGGCAGGGCCCTATATTGGACGCCATGAAGGCGTGACTCCAGGGGATGCCCAGGCTGACCCTACGGATACTGCTAGGGGAAAAATCTTCCAGCTGTTGTGCACACGGCACGCGCACACCTGATTGCAATTGACATGAATAAGCACTTGAATATGAAGTTTCCCCTGTCCCCCCTGAAGCTCATTTTTCCCACATGCTTGACTGTTGTACATCAATAAATACTGAATTTCTGTCACCACAATAATGTCAATAGCAAAACACCTACCAGTAACAGGATATTATGGGCTTGATTTTCAAAAATGATTCAGCACCAACAGCTTCTGTTCAAATCAAAATGCTTGAGCATCCATTAGGAAGTCTGACCTTAAGTCTCCAATTTTAGATCAAGGAAAATCCTAATTATTAGTGAGAGAAAAATGCTTAACAATGCAATGACAGCAAGTAGTAATACAAAAGAAGGCAGACACGCAGACAGCGTAACAGTAATCTGCTTAAATCTTCTTTTACAGTGTTCAAACTGAGTGCATACAATCTTCCTCCATCAAGATAAGGTAAGAAATAAGACACTTCTAGCTTGTGCATTTTTTTTTAATAAAAATCCAATCAATGAATTCAGTTTTTGTTTTTTTACCAAAACAAATTGCAAAAACTAAAGATTCGCTGGAATACTGTATATTCCATTCAGCTTTAAAATAGCACAGTAATCATTAACCTGACACTTATCTGTAATGCCTTTTGACCCTACTGTAAAAAGGAGGAAAATTGTTCATCTAGGAAAACTTGCAGAAGACAACGTTCAAGGTCAGAACATTCTCTCTCAATTTATGCGAACAGGAGCAGCTAACAGGGGAGTTTGGCGACGGAGTTCTCCAGGTGAAGAAGGAGCGATTACGTGACCCTTGGGGTAAGTTTGTTGTCGGTTGTGTGTGTGTTTGTTGTGGTGTGCTTGCTGTTTGACTGAAATATACCGTGTGGTCTGTTTGTTTGGGGGACTGTGTGCTGACTGTGTGGGTGCTGAGCCTAGCGGCCTGCTAGGCTAGGCTGAGAACTGAGAGCTTCTTAACGAGGCTTTGATTCCTAAGCCCTTTAGCCCCATCAACCCTTAACCGGGGGACTCCTCAGGAAGACCAGAGCTTTAAAAAGCCGGCTCCTCAGTGACCAGAGGAGCTAGCGAACAGGGGTGTTTTGCGAGGGAGTTTACGACGACGGAGTACGGGGAGTGGGCTACATGCACTTAACATTCCTTAAACTTAAACCAAAAAACATCCCCTGATAAAAACAAAACAACAAAGGAGCCAGCGGCAGGAGTAAAAAGATAACGCAGGCAGAAGTCCAGCAACAGAGTGGGGGCTACCCAGTTTATTGCAGCATGTCTGATTACCTGCCCTATGGGCAGGTGGCGTATGTGTGCATTCGATGCAAGGAGCTTCTGGCCCTCAGAGACTGTGTAGGGGCTTTGGAGACCAGAGTGGCTGCGCTGGAGGAGCTAAGGGAGACAGAGAGGTACACAGATGAGAATTTCTGGGACACAGTAGAACGGTCCAACCTCCAGTCTGACAGCCTCTGTGCTGTTGAGGAGAATGAAAGTCCCAGGGAAGGAGAACATCCAACTGGAGCAGAGGGAAATGATCCCATAGTTGGGACACTCCCCAGACGATGTGATATCCTCTCGCACTGAGGAGACCTCTCCGGGGGAGGGAACTCTAGTTATTAGGAAGAGATCATTAGAAACATAGATAGCTGGGTTTGCAATGACCGGGAGAACCGCACGGTGACTTGCCAGCCTGGTGCAAAGGTTGCGGATCTCTCGAGACGTCTAGATAGACATATGTGTAGTGCTGGGGAGGAGCCAGTGGCTGTGGTACATGTAGGAACCAGTGACATAGGGAAGGATAGGAGAGAGATCTTGGAGGCCAAATTTAGGCTTCTAGGTAAGAGATTGACGTCCAGGACCTTCATGGTAGCATTCTCTGAAATGCTTCCAGTTCCAAGCACAGGCCCAGTTAGACAGGCAGCGTGGATGTGACAATGGTGTAGGGAGGAGGGGTTTAGATTTATTAGGAACTGGGAAAACTTTTGAGAAAGGGAGAGCCTATACAGGAAGGATGGGCTCCACCTAAATCAAAATGGAACCAGATTGCTGGCACTTAAAATTAAAAAGGGTGTAGAGCAGTTTTCAAACTACGGGCTGGGGGAAAGCCAACAGGTGCAGAGGAGCACATGGCTCGGATAGAGACATCCCTTAGGAGAGGATCTACTAATGGAGATTCTCTATGTCCTAGTAGGGAGGAGAGTATGGAAGATAAAATACAGATAGGATCTGATGAGAAACAGTCAAATGAACAAGAGTTTCATTCAAGTACATTATGTAATGGGAGACAGCTAAAAAGTGACAAGTTTTTAAAGTGCTTATGTACCAATGCTAGGAGTCTAAGATAATAAGATGGGTGAACTAGAGTGCCTCGTATTAAATGAGGATATTGATATAATAGGCATCACTGAAACTTGGTGGAATCAGGATAATCAATGAGACACAGGGTACAAAATATATCAGAAGGACAGAACAGATCGTGCTGGTGGGGGAGTGGCACTATATGTGAAAGAAAGCGTAGAATCAAATGAAGTAAAAAATCTCAAATGAACCAAACTGTCCCATAGAATTTCTATGGATAGTAATTCCAAGCTGGAATAGTAAGAATATAGCAGTAGAGATATACTATCGACCACCTGACCAGGATGGGTGACTATGAAATGCTCAGGGAGATTAGAGAGGCTATAAAAATTAAAAAACCTCAATAATAATAATGGGGGATTTCAACTATCCCCATATTGACTGGGTACCTGTCACCTCAGGACGGGATGCAGAGATAAAGTTTCTTGACACCTTAAATGACTGCTTCTTGGAGCAGCTAGTCCTGGAACCCACAAGAGAAGAGGCAATTCTTGATTTAGTCCTAAGTGGAGCACAGGATCTGGTCCAAGAGGTGAATATAGCTGGACCGCTTGATAATAGTGACCATAATATAATTAAATGTAACATCCCCCTGGTGGGGAAAACACCACAGCAGCCCAACACTGTAGCATTTAATTTCAGAAAGGGGAACTACACAAAAATGAGGAGGTTAGTCAAACAGAAATTAAAAGGTACAGCATCAAAAGTGAAATCTCTGCAAGCTGCATGGAAACTTTTTAAAGACACCATAATAGAGGCTCAACTTAAATGTACACCCCATATTAAAAAACATAGTAAGAGAACCAAAAAAGAGCCACAAAGTAAAAGAAGCAGTGAAAGGTAAAAAGGCATCCTTTAAAAAGTAGAAGTTAAATCCTAGTGAGCAAAACAGAAAGGAGCATAAACTCTGGCAAATGAAGTGTAAAATGTAATTAGGAAGGCCAAAAAAGAACTTGAAGAACAGCTAGCCAAAGACTCAACATTTTTAAGTAGAGGTGCCTTTCCACGCCGCTGGAGCACCGGGGCTGGGGCAACGGGATAGGTGCCTCTCCCCTGCCCGCAGCATGTCCAGGGCTGGACTGGGTTGGGGCGCTTCTCCCCTCGTCCGCTGCAGGTCGGGGGGTGAGGGGGGCTGGGCTGGGGCCAGGGCGCCTCTCCCCAGGCCGCAGCAGGTCCGTCCACAGTCCAGGCCGCCAGTGACAGTCCACCGCTTCGGGCTCCGGCTGCCTGCCAGTGATGGGGTGGGTGGGGGCTGAGAGAGGAGCACTCACCCGGCCGGCTGAGAGGAGCGGGGCGGAGAGAAGCCCTGGGCCGGGGGGCCCATAGGAGCGCGGGGAAGGGTCCAGAGAGGAGCCAACTGCAGCGCAAGTGAAGTGGAGCGCTGGGCCAGGCTGGGTTGGGGAGGGGCTGGTTGAGAGGCACCTCTCCCGGCCGCAGCCCTGAGGACTTAGAACCACGGATTAACATCAACTGATCCTTATTCTCGGATATGTAGGTTACTTAACAAAGGAAGTAGCTTTTCCTCAATGAAACTCTTTATTTTTATCTTACTGTACATCAACCTGAAACAGGAAACACTTTAGCATACAATTTTAAACATTCAAACACAATTATCTAGGAAAGACTATTAGGTAACTAGCTACAAAATCAACAGGTTTTAGGGTTTTTTTTTGGGGGGGGGGGTTAAACTTTTAAGATCTACCATGTCAATTGCATATACAGATTCATCTCAAGGACCAGTTGTAATAGGCACCCTATGTATTTGTAGTAAAAGACAGATACCACCCCAAAGGCTCACAGTCTAAGGCCCTGATCCTCCAAATAGTTAGGCCTGGTCTATGCTTAAAAATTAGATCATCCTAGCTATGTCACTCAGCACTGTGAAAATTAGTGAGCCTTGAGCGCTGTACTTAGGTTGACCTAGCCACCAGAGTAGACACGGCTAGGTCGATGAAAGAATTCTTCCATCTATCACCTCTCAGAGAGATGGTTTAACTACATCAATGGAAAAACCCCTTCCGTCAATGTAGGAAGCATCTATACTACAGCACAACAACAGCACAGCTGCAGCTCCATACCAGTGTCGCTTAGCAACTGTAGCGTAGGTATGCCTGAACATACACATTTAATTTACTGGGTGTAATTCAAGTGCTTGCGTGATTGTGGTGTCAGAGACTGCTTTAAAGAGTGTAGTGTGTACTTAAGCAGTAGCTACATAATATGTGTGTTGGGGTGGGATAGTGGAAAGAAATCAAAGCTAATCATTGAAATGAAAGTAAATCTTTAGAAAATTCTTCATGAATCTTAATTTCATGAAAATTGCTTTTGCTTTAAGAAGTGGCTCCTTTTACAGTGTATTGAAGAATGTATTTTTTTTTTTTACTTTTCTCTAGCATAAAGAAAGTCAAAGCAGATTGAAATTCAGTAAGGAAAGTTTTAGAACATTTCCCCTTGGGTTTCCTTTAAATCTGATAAGGCACAAGTTGTTGAATTCAGTGCTTCTAGCAGTAATAGCTTATGTCTATTTCCTAAAACTAACTTCAGCCAAGCAAAAGTGTAAAATCTAACTCCTTTTTGTATATGACAAAGAGGCAGCATCACAAGGATCTGAAGTCCTCTAGAAAAGGAAGGATGGTCCGGTGGTTAGGTCACTAGCCCGGAACTTGCATTGTCCCATTTCAACTCCTTGCTTTACCATGGACTTCCTATGTGTCCTTGGGCAAATCACTTAAGTCCAGATATTTGAAGGTATTTAGGTGCCTAAATATATGGGCCTTAGTGTCTTTGTGCTTCAGTTCCCCATCGATAAAATGGGGATAATAGCATTTTTCTAGTTCATAGGGATGTTGGGAGGATAAATACATTAAAAGATTCTGGGCACTCAGATACTAAAGTCAAAGGCCTAGCAACATCACTGCACAAAAGACAGGTATGATAAATTACTATTCCACTTGAAAAAATCTGTAACTCACCTTCCAGACTAATGTTCTAAAACAATTCGTTTATTCATTGTTGAGATAGGCATTGGAAAAGCCAAAAATATTTAGTAACCAGTGAAATAGAAGAGACTAGAAATGGATGAGAAGTGTGAGAGTTAGAAACATTTAGTATGGAAGTAGAGTAGAAGAAAGAGTATAAACTGAAAGTGGCATTTCCCATAAACAAAAAGCAACAGAGGGTCCTGTGGCACCTTTGAGACTAACAGAAGTATAGGGAGCATAAGCTTTCGTGCTCCCTATACTTCTGTTAGTCTCAAAGGTGCCACAGGACCCTCTGTTGCTTTTTACAGATTCAGACTAACACGGCTACCCCTCTGATACTTGACCCCATAAACAAACAATTTCCAGAATAGCAGAAGCTAGAACACTGGATAGGAAAATGAACAATTCAACACCTTTGGCTTTTTCAACACTATGTTGGCTGTGTGCCCTGGTTCATACTTCAAACACTATAATTTCTACTACTTCTAGTGCCAGATGAGAGTGAAGACTTCTTGAAGTTGGTACAACAGGTGTATTCTACAACCATTTATTAAATTGGACCATGATCTCAGAGCTTAAGCAGGGTCAGCCCAGCTCAGTACTGGGAGAGAAGACCTGCAAGGAAAATCAGTTTCTACAAGAAATTGTGTTGGTGACTTGACTTGATCTTTGACCAGGAACTATCTTTTGTTCTGTTTGTATAGTTATGATAATACAAATAATAAGAACAATGCATGATTCTTCTCTGAACCACTACTGAACTGGTGCCCAAGCCAGGTGAGTGGGGGAACTGTCTTGTTAGAGGTGCTTTCTATAAGAAGAAAAAGTAAGGTCCAGATCCTGTAGAATTTTTCACAAGATTAGAAATGCTAATCCTAATATGCTAACCAAATTCCTATTTTGGTAATTACATTCTGCCTTCCTAAAATTTCACCTGCAATTGCTATTGAATATTAAAAAACAAAGGCAAAATTATTCCAAACTTCACTGTTTAAACATACTAGCGTCAGGTTGGATCTGAAAATAACCTGACCCTCTGGGGCTCCCATGAGTCATCTCTGTTCACCTCCTCCTGCCTGGGGGGTCAGCACAGTGGCAGCTGTGTGCCCCACTCCTGCCAACTACCACCCACCTTGGTGCGCACTTTGTGTGCTGCAGAGCGAGCATGCCAATGAATCACAACACTTCTCACTCCACAGCGCACACAGCTCAGCAAAGCAGCAGTATCCGGCAGAAGCGGGGCATGCAGCCACTGCCATGACAACCCCAAGGGCAGGAGGTGACCAGAGATGGATCACAGGCACAGGGAGCAGAAAGCCCCCACCAATCCAAGCCCCAAGGATGAGGCGGCAGCAGCGCTGACAAAGGTTTGGGTCCTGTGAGTTCTGAAAACACTAAACACTCTTGGGTCAAGTTTGGGTCAGCTTCTGGGTTGGGCTATAAAATTAGGCCTGAGCAGATCTCTAAACCAGACTGCTTGTGTCACTTCTCGCTCCACCATTCCTATGTTTGTGCATTATCTAGCTAGCCTGTTTAGTTCTTTGAGGCAAGAATCTGTGCCTTCTTACCCATTGTTAAAGCACCTCACATATAGTTGGCAGTATACAAGTAACAGGAGGCAGCATGGGCCAGGAGATACAGCACTGGACTGAGAGACGACCTTGGTTCTTCTCTCAGCTCCACCACTTGCTGTGCGACCCTGGGCAAGTCATTTAACCTCTCTGTGCCTCAGCTTCCCCATCTAACACAGGTATAATAATGCTTAACCACTTTTGTGAAGTGCTCAGTATTGTTATTAGTACAGTATTTTTCACTTGCTGCCCTAAACTGCTGGGTGGCATTGACGTGTGCTACTAACTAGCCACAGAGTTCCTCCCCCAGGTAACTACACTGAGGACTTGTCTAAAACACTACAATAGCACAGCTGCGCCGCCGTAGCGCTTCAGTGTCGCCGCTACCTGCGCCGACAGCAGGGATTCTCCATCAGCGTCAGTAATCCACCTCCTCAAGAGGCAGTAGCTAGGTCAAGGAAAGAGTTCTTCTGTCAACCTAGCTCCATCTACACAGGGACTTCGGTCGGCTCAACTTCACCGCTCTGAGGTGTGCATTTTTCACACCCCTGACCAACATAGTAAACCAACCTAATTTTCTAGTGTAGACCAGGCCTGATACTGTACAAAATGCTTGACATCTATCATACACAAGCAAGTCACCTTAACAATCAAAAGGAATCGGGGGGGAAAGGGAGAGATGATCCTAGCTGATTACAGAATTATCAGCAGAAAATAAGAAGTTAAACCAGATATCATTAAGTTCACAAGTTAAATACCTTTCTTTGGCTCTTGAAGGATATGTCTACACTACACTTTAAAAAAAAAAATCTCAAGTGGACTGATTGCCAATTAACTCACAGTAGTAAACACACTGTGAAAGCTACCCTCAAAAGTCCCCAAACATTTATTCCTTTCTACAGAAGTTTGTGTATTATGTCAGGGCTCAGCTTAGGTAAAATAGTCAAGTGCAGATAAACCCAAAGTGAAGAAAAGAGTAAAGACCCACACATTCAGAACAGCAGAAGCAATTGCAACTTACAATATCTAACTCTTCAAGAAGTTAAAAAAGAGCGTAAAACAGAGGTGGCCATCTGTTTTTCACAAGTTAAAAAGTAATCTCATCATCTACCCTACAGAGGACAATGTTTTGTAAAAGTCAACTTTATTCTGAAACCTGCCTTTATTCTGAAAGGTAATTGAAGAAAAGCAGCAATGCTTTCAAATGTAGTTGTTCACAGAAAAGCATGGCTAACCTGTCTGAAAATTCAGTGCGGACTAGATTCAGCAGCTGAGTCCCCTGCAATAAAAAAGGGGGGATTAAAATAATAGTTGAAATTTAGTTTCAGTTGCACTGGCAAACCAAGAGAGTTGAGGCTAAACACTACACAACTCTGACAATACAAAGCAATCAATGTCTTCACAGTTGTTTTTTCTAGAACTACACAACAACTGGACCAGACTTCTCAGCATTCAAAATAGAAAATATTTTAATAAACCACAAGGAAAAACAATTAAAACATTAGACTTGGATAACTATGATCAGATGGTCTGATGCTATAATCACTAAGCATAGACCTTATTATTAGGAGTAGTAATGTTGTTAAAAATCCAGCACAGTGGATTTTTTCAGGGGATGTTATTGCTTTTTTCATTTTTGGTACTTCTGTGACATTCTGAAGTAATTACATGACCATATATTGGAAATTTTTTATTTTAAATAGAAACAAAAATTAGAACCTAATTTATTAATAAAAACTAACTAGTCTAAGAACTTAAAAGGGAAGTCATAAAAACATCAAGGTTTGCTTATGAGGAAACAAAAGATTTAGAACTGTCTAGATAGACGCCTAGAGGGGAAGAGGGAATGGATGGAGTGATTACCGATGACAAAGGCATGCCTAGTGGGTTAACCAACTATCATTGAATGTTCAAGTGGAGAGTTGGGGACCCAGTAGGTAAAGCTATAACTTGTGAGGGGGCCTTGGCTTTCTAGAATTTGGAAACTTCTGGAAGTTGGACAGAGCATCTGCTAATATGGTTCAGTGCAAAGCTACCTAGCTTATCTTGTTTTTCAGTTTTCACAATGCTGAATTCACTTGGTGTTTGTTTCTGACTATAAAGGTAGTAAATGTGAAAGTTGTTGATCAATCATGCAAATGTGTGATTGACTGGTGATTACCAAACATCAGTACAGAGCAGGAAGGGAAAGAAGCAAATGAGTGGACTGAAGGAGTTAAAATAGAAGACTCTTTTGTCTCAGTTGCTAAAGATACTATCCAAGAATTCAGAGTAAGATCTGCCATTTGTTCTGAAAAATAAAATGGAGAAGATGAGAGGTCTATGCAGATACAAACATCCTAAGCTTCTGATGTATGGGTGTTTAGCACACTTTAGTGCAGAATGCAGTGGCATGCCTGCCCAGTGGCCATCCACAGTGAGAGCACGCTGAGCGCTCCGTGAGTGCACTAGCTTCCAATTAGTTTTCTGATGGAGTTTAGATTGTTAATTTAGACCCATAAAGCCCTAAATGGTTTGGAACCTAGCTAATGAAGTGTCTCTCTCTGCCCTCGGATATACTGCAACAACTCCAAATAGCAGAGGTTGGTGGCTGGGTCCTTGAAGGGTTCTCAATGCTTGAACATGATCTCCTCCGTGGTCTGATAAAATGTTGATTTATTGACCTTCAGAAGATGCTGCAAGGCTCACATCAAACTCATTCCCAGGCCTTTGCTAAGGAGATAGGTTGAGGGACAGAGGGTGGATGTTTGAGAGAGGTTATTCTGCTGCATTGTTGCTAACGGGGTTTAGTCTGTTGAGTTTAAGTGGTTATAGTTTGGAATTATCATCCATGATTATATACTTCAGTTACATAAATACTAGGAGCCAGTTGGGATAGATGCTTTTAAATAAATTTGAAAACATACAAGAAAATAATGAAAGATCTAAATACAACTGGAAAACTTGAACATCAGGTGAGTTTTTAAGTTCTTAAACTCAGCTGAACCATATCCTATCAAAACTGACACAGATATGAAGGTTCCTGACAGGGAATACACTTCTTGCAAAAGTTACCAACAACTCACGGTTGCGTAGGTATAAACTGAGGTTTAACTGAACAGTAAGAATGTACCTGATGTCATAAGAAAGTGACAGTATTGCCTCAATTATACATAAAGGTGAAGTTTAATCAAGAAGCAAAATTCAAGGGATTTGTTAATGAGAATACTCGCTACCCTACAACAGAGTTAGCCAAACACTAATTCAGGTTATATCTGGGGTTAAGAGTGCAGTCACTTAATAATTAATATATGTAATTCAATTAATGATACTGGAGAAATTGAAAACATTTTACATTTATTAACAGCTGTGTCAAGCTGCTGAAAGACCAAGGTGTTACGGAAGCCTGCATTCTTCAGATCCAGGTTTCTCAGGTAGCTATTTCATACTTTTGATTGAATTTGTTGATTCCTGAAAAGCACTTCACAGGAGCACAAACTATCAGCGCAGTTTTCCTCAGGGTTTTGCTGCTGAATACCACCTCCAGTTCTGATTTTATCAGAGCTCAGAAACTATGGTCAAGCTTCTTCAGCAGTCCTTGGTTGGGGAAAATTCAGGGGGTTGCAGGAAGTGGCGTTCTTCCCTCTGAATTAGTGTCTGTACCTGATGTTAGGTGTACTGTGTGGTTGGAAGTGCCAGATTTGCTGTGAGATGCTTTTGGAATGAGATGTAAAAGCAAAGTCTTGACCCCTATGGTCACTAAAACAACAGACACACCATCCATGCAGAAGAGTATAAGCAACTAGACAGCCCTGGCTAAATCTCACTTTAGCTAATTACATTCTGCCTACCTAAAATTCCCAGGACGTGTCAAATGGACATAGTTTTCTTCACTGCCAAGGCTAGTTACCGGACCCGAATGCGGATAGTAAGGACAATGGCGAAGGATGCAGAACTGTACCCAAGAGAAGCAGTATTCACGTGCCCGCGGGCTGTGGCCAGAGGATCTGCTGGAGTGGAAGCTGCCCTGGGCGCTGACGGGCTGTGGGGTGTCACCCACGTTTGGTGAGGC